TTTTTTGAGGCCGGGTCATTTTTGCCCTGGAACACCCCAAGTGTGACTTTGTGCCATTTTGTACAAAATAAAAGCCTTTCAAAACAAACTCCCTGATTAAACATTAAAATACATTAGTGTGATAAACAGTGCAAATTTTCATCAGTTTTTATTTAATATTGTGAAAATTATTCATAAATAATGCTTTTTTCACTCAAAAAATGAGGTGCCTACTCTCAGACAAATGAGGCCTACGATTAATCAGAAGCAAATATAAATACAAAACCAGTCCTAAATGAAAGATAAGAAGTTGACAAAAAGATTGAATCCAATCTTTGTTGATAATATAGCATAATGAGTGATTTATAAGCATTTGTTTGAGGCCGGGTCATTTTTGCCCTGGAAACTCACAGATGTAACAAGGTGAAAAATCTCCCCCAAAAAATCATTAACTAGTATTTTCGGGAAAAATAAAAAATTTTCAGAGCAAGAAGGACCCGAACACCACATGAGGGTTTTAAACTAGTATGTTTCATATTGAAAAGTTGAGCATGTTTTGCAGACTAAATGTTTGATGTGAGGACACTGGGAGGCAATGTGAGGAAATGTACTTCTGTGAATATGTTTAGAAAACATTACAGTGAATCAATGGAGAGGTCAAGGGATTTCCTTCCACTGGATGTAATGTCACTATAACAGGACTGCATTTGCAGATTCATCAATGAAGGAGATTTATAGATTTATATGCAATTCTCAGTTGAATTGAGGTTATATAACTAATTAATAAGGCCAACCCCTGCACAAACCCAACTCAAGGTAAGAGGGTCCACAGTCACAGGGATGTAAAGTTCCACACAGGTATGCCAACACAACAACTGTTTAAAAGGTTTGAGGCAAAAGCAGTACTTTGACTATTCACACCTGAAATCACTGCAGTTGTGAAGGCTTGTTACTTCCAGTCAGACATCTCTAACAATGAATGTAAGATTAACTGCATCGTGCATCTGTCAGCGATACATGAAAACTCTGAGAATTATTTGAAAGACACAAACCTTGGACACCCAATGATGAGAGATTCTTGTGTAATAACAGAGTTTGTGTAACAGGTTCATCAAAAGCAAGATCTGCAAGTTGAGCTTCCAGTGCAGAAGATGACACAGAGTAAATAAGCTGTCACCTTAAAGGTCATTAATTTTCCTCTGCAACAACTATGCTGCCAAAAGAGCAACACAGTTGAGTCTTTTTCTAAGTGTTTTTCTCTAACTGCCTAAGACTATGAGATCAAATTTTTTTAAGGTGGATGTTTTTACATTTTTATAGCTGGCCCTTTTCACCCATATACTAATTTTGCTCCAAAATGTAAAACAAAAAGTAACCAGACAATTTCTGCAGGACTAATGATTTTACAACATATACCAGAGGACGTAAACACCGAGGTTGTGACAAAAAAAAATTGCTCACTCAGTGCATAGGGCAATTAGTAAAAATGCAATTAGCACTGGATTTTAAAGAGGCTTTTGAGTGAAAAAATCAGGGTGAGTAACAAGGTGGACCGTAGTCCTTTCCAATGCAACTTCCTGCACTTACCCTTGAACTGAATTATTCACACGTTATCTGGCATACATACATGCATGCAAGCACACACACATTCACA